TACGTAAAAGATTTGCGTATCATTGTAATTAAGAAGAAGAGGGGTTTAACCATACACACGACACGCTTTTAATGAGCGTCCTAGGAGGTCTTACAGTTTGACTGGACCTTCCTAGCAGACTGTTTCAAACTTTGATATTACATAAAATAAACAACCGAACTACGAGCAGCGCGGTAACCTACGGAGCTGTGCGTCTCCGCTAATGGCCGCGCGACTTTGTTTCGTCATCCGAGAAGAGCCTTGTACCAATCGTCGCAGCGGTCGCCGGGAACAGCTCGTCCAGTGCTTCCACTTCGCTCGACGTCCAGTTCCTTACGAAAAAGTCGTCGTAAGCTCTCTTGGACGCGGATGAGATTGGACCTGCCGGCGGTGCAAAGCTCATCCTCCGCATGAGGAGCACCTCGCCCCGCTTGGAGATTAGAATGTGCGCCAGCGGCTGAGCGGCAATCCGTCTGCTCCGCTTTGGCATGGGTTACCCTCTGGTTGCCACCTTCTGCCTGGGTGGGCTGGCAATTAGAGACGGCATTCGCTCGAGCTGCACCTCCTCAGTGAACCATGCGAGACGTCGTGCAGCTTCGCGTGGTGTGGGAGTCCCGTCGCTGGGGGTGGTGTAACCCTCTGCGACACCGGGTGCTCTCGCTCGTGGTGGCGTGAGTTGTGGCGGCCCCTGCACTGGCGACATCAGAGACAAGTCTGTCGTCTACTGAGCAGCCGTCGTCGGGGAACAGGTGTCCGCCATCGGTGCCTCAACCTCCTAAGGGACTGTTGTAGCAGGCAGACACTCAGGTGTTGCTGCTCTCATTGGCCGGCTCCCGACGAGCGAGGCGGCGAGCTCCTCCAGCATCGGATCGAAAGAGATGACCAATGCGGGGGGCCCCGCACTCACGCACAGCGCTAGCGCCACCGGATCTGGCTCGGGGAAGCCCAGTGCAGCAGTAGAAGTAGGTACCCTGTCAGCGTGGTCGGTAGGCGCACCCATGCCGATCTCCTTCGGCTTAGTCTTGCGTCGCCGATGTTGTCATCGTCTCCCACCGACGCCCCCCACGGCCCCCGGTGCGGTACCCCTCGCACCGCCGCGCGGCGTGTGCTAGGACGACGTAGGGTCGACACGAGCATAATACCATGGCAGGTCGGCACCCACCGCCGCCGAGGTCGAAGCAGTCCTTCGCCTGCAGTCCTTGACGAGGTGCCCGAATCCACGACAGCACAGGCAACGCCGTGGCAACCGACAAGTCGCTACTCGGTGCGAGTAGGAGAGGCAGTTGAAGCATCTGCCATGAAGCTCTATCGGGATCTTCTTGACCTGCGAGGGTTGCCCTTGGTTGGGGCGAGGCCCCATCGAGGCAGCAGCAGCAGATCCTGAGACCTGTCGGGGGAGAATCTCACGCCACCCATCGTTGTTGGGGGCGGAGACCCGTCCACGACGGCCGAGTCATTGGCGGGCAGGGACACGGCCATCCACTGGCCACACAGGCAAGCCGTTCACCAGATGCGGGCGTGGCCGGTTGCGCTTCCTCCGCCTATGGCCACGCCCCTGTCAGCCTCGTTCAGCACCATCACAGCCGTGCAAAGGCCCTGCTCCGCGGCGCCCCAAAACCGCGGTTGAACGAGTGTGGCGGCGCACGGGGGACGGTGAGGCCGGCATCGCCGGGCGACGAGCGGCCTCCAGGTATGTCGCGGGTTGGTCGTCATCGATCTCCTCGTCGTTGTCGTCCGCCCACCGCCGGCTCTTCGAACGCCCTCCTGAAGAGCATCTGGGGAAGAATGGTGCCGCGGCTGGCGAGAGGGAGGAGCTTGAGGCGCCCATCGACGCCGTGACGGTACCCCAGGGCCCGGTCGTGGCCACGGCGTTTCCCGCATCCAGCCCCAGCGGTGGAGGGAACGAAGCGCCATAGGTGGCCCCCTCGGCCGCCAGCGACGCGGTCGTGGTGGTGCCCTTGGCGGCGTCCTCGTCCCCGGTCGGCGTTCACGCGGGCCCCGCGGGAGGAGGCGGTGGTGGAGCGGTCGAGGCAGTGGCGGTCACGGCGGCTGCTTCCAGGGTCGGTGTCGAGGGCGGTGCAAGTGGCCGTGGAGGGGCCGCTGAGCCCGTGGATCCCGCATGGGCGGGCTCGACGCCGGTGGTGGCTACTGCAGTGGGGCCCGGCACCATCGTCGGCGTGGACGGAGTGGCGGCGGAGCCCGACCTCGACGGCAGCGGTTACGTGGAGGGCCATGGAGGGGCCGAAGCGCCGGATCCAGTGGGGACGGGCTCGGATCCGCTACCGGCAGTGGCGGCGGTAGGTCCCGAAGTCGGCATCCGCGCGGGCGGCCACGGATCCCGCGGCGGCGCCAGGAAGCCAGATCCAGCAATATCCGTGGTGGGGAGGGTAGGGGAGGGGGAGGGGGAGGGGAGGGTGGGGGGCGCCGGCGGCGGCGGGTGGGAGGCCGTCAGGTGGGAGGCCCGAAAGGCTCAGGAATCCAGTGCAAGATTGTTTTCCCAGATGCTTAAAAAATTATACTACGTGAAAGCTGCAGGTTCTGAAAAAGTACCTTCAGGTTCCACCCATTTGGTTGATATTATGCTCTTTTGCATTGGTCACTTTTAGTATCATTGTTTGGATTGACCCCTTGAAAAAAGAAAGCACCGCACCTTGTCTTCTATGGACATAGAGAAACTTTCTTCTTATGCTTGACCTTTTCACAGGCTATGGCTTGATTAGTTTTACCCTCCTTTGTTTTGAACGTTTTGTATGTGAAGGACCGAGCATGTGACCACTGAGGGGTGAGGAGGTGAATGGGATCTAAATAAAAATTCTCGTCATGAACTTAGCCTATATTCCAAAATCAACCTGAGCGCTTTCTTACCCCAACCCTAGATCACACAAGCCAACAGATGACAAGATGACCTAGAGAAGTTCATAGATGGCAGAGAAACAACACGAAGGCAATACGAGCAAGAAATGAGACAAAACCTGCACGCTCTATGAAATCCGGGCCAAGCTGGTTCTGCAACACGGCTAGATACACCATTTGTGAAATCCGGCTATGCTGGTTCTGCAACTTGGCCAGGCCAGTTCTACGGTTTTCTACGGCCCGAGCCAAGGAAGAAAAATGCAAAACTCAATCAAACGAAGTCCAATTGAGTTGGAACTTTGCACACACCTTCTCTAGAGGAAGTGAAGATATCTGCAAAGTTTCAACTCCGAAAGATCAAAACTTGGGTACCAGATCTAAAAAGAGGCTCTCAAAAATAGGGTTTTCTCCAATTTCAAACAAAGTTGTTTTCTTGATGTGCGTGCTAAACCTAGTTGAACAAGTGGCTAGATGTGTTCCTAGGGGGTCATGGCACCAAAAGATCAACTCAAAACAGTCCCCAAAACCTCAGAAAGAACTCCCAAAAGGATCACAAAAATCAACTGAAACCGGAGAAAAATAAAGGAGATTGAAAAGATGAACTTGAAATTTCAGATGACAACTTGATTGATTCATCACATAAACATCTTTACAAGATTAAGTCTAGCCTCCTCTCTTCATCCTGCCTCTAGAAAGTGGAAAACTAGAGCAAGAGGTGCTCACCCTCTCTACTTCTAATTTTCTCTAAGCGAGATCTACTTGGCTAGCCTAAGGAAATAAACTTAAGTGGGAGAGATGGCTATTTTGGGCAGCTACTACCTTTATTTATAGGGCTATTACACATTCTAAGATGACTACCTCTAGGTATTTGCCTTGAACCACTTAGCCACAAGGGAAAAATGGTCAAAAACGAATTCCATGCATCGGCGGCCACGAGCCCTTCACGAAGTTGCTTTGCCTCAACGCAAGCTCTCAGATGATGCCACATGCCACCCTGAGATCCTCCCTCGGAGTTTTGAGGCCCAAACCTGGCAAACCTACCGCCCGCGGTTGTGAGGCCTAAATAAATCGCCAAACCCACTTGGAGTCGCGCTACGCCTCTCCATGATGTCGATGTGTGCCCCGCTCGTCCTTGACCGTCCGATCACCAAGTGCTTGTGCGTCCACCTTGACTTGGTCCAATCGCCGTCTTGACTTCGATCAATACCATCTTCATCACCATCCTCGCATGTACACTAGCTTGCGTTGTGGACATGTCTAAGTGCTAGCTATCCACAGTCCATCCTCCGGCCCTCGGTTCCTCGGTCCAAGACTTCACGTGCACCCTTCACCTCTTCCGGTCCATCGCGTATGGACTCCTGGTTTACCTTCTCCATTGCCGTCGACTGTCTCAACTCTCAACACCTGCACATCACAAGCCAAGAGACATATTGCACACACAACTCACGCCATGGTTAGTCTCAAGCACACTGAACTGAAGCTTCGATCCCTCTTGATCACAACCACTTATGACTCACATATGGGCACATATGCACCATGTGTTTGCAGTATGCATTTGTGGTGCTATCATCAACTTTGGTACATTTCTTCGTGATAATAAAATCTGCAATTTTTTAAATTAACTAGCAGTAAATAAGAAACGTTGGCTAACATGCATGTTTGAGCCATTCTTCGCGACCGAGACGATTCATCTTCCTACACCGGTTATGGATCGGAGTGAAATCTGGCGATCCATTATCTTTATGCCTTATTTGGTTCTCATGAATTGAGAGTTATTGGAAAACAATCCAATAATAAAAATGGAAAGCACTTTCTAGATATTAATTTCAATTCATGAGATCAAATAGACCCTTAGAGATGAAATATATATAGATAACAAAGCCACAACAGCGGTTGAGTACAACAGTCTTGCAGAGGCCGGAATAAAATTTTCTTTTTCTAAAATATAATCTTACGTTTAGTGAGAGAAAACCATAAAAAATCTCAAGCAACTTTGCATATATAGTAGGAGTACAATGAACAAAAAAACAATGAACACAAACTATAAAGATACAGGGTGAGATCCATATAACCATATAAACTTGCCATAGGAAGACAACTCCCCACTCCGATCCCGTGGCCGAGACCACGCACATTTGGCATGCAGGAGTCGCATGCTGAACAGAACACTACTGGATGGTGCACGCTCCTTCATGTGACCTTTCTTCGTAGCAGCCGTAGTAGGGGTACGGCCTGCTGGCGCACCCGTTGTAGTAGCCGTAGGGGTAGTAGCTAGGCACGGCGCAGGGGTCGTAGTAGCAGCTGGGGCTGGGCTTGCAGCGGCTGCAGGAGCAGCAGCCCTTGCCGAGCCACGCCTCGCAGGCCTTCTCGCACTTGTCCTTGCACTTCTTCTCGCACTTCTCCTTGCACTCCTTGCAGCAGGTGATCTTGTCGCACTTCTCCTTGCACAGCTTCTCGCACGCCTCCTTGCAGGGGTCCTTCTTCTCCGTGGGCTTGTCGTCCTCCACGCTGACGATGGTCGCCTCGAAGCACTTCTTCTTGAGCTTCTGCACGATGCGCACCGGGTCGACCGTCCCGACCACCGTCAGCGTGCACTTCTCGGCGTCGATCTCCATGGATTTGATTCCTGGATGCGTGGTCATATCATACATGGCATCAGCCTGACAGCAGGTATATATACACACATTGTTCATTAGATAGAAAGATAGAAAGGTAGATACCTTGGTTCTTGGAAACAATTGCTAGGATCTCACTCTTGCATTTGTCGCCAATGAGGTCAGCTTTGATAACTATCTTCTGCAATATGATGAGCAAACAGAAAACATTCAATACGAATAATGATTCATGGCCACAAAATTCGGAGTTGATCTGCAGCAGAAAATAAAGACATTATTATCACAAGAACTGAACCTTAGACATTGTGATCGAGATGATGACACCCACACCCCTGGGTTGGAATGGATAGCAGACTGAGTGTTCTCTGCGAAATCTATGTCCAATCCTAAGCTGTTTATAGGCGGCAATCCTGGAAGTCAACTCGGCGAGACAGCAGCTACTGTCAACACGCCATTGGATGGGACCTGGTCGTAGGAGTAATGAAATATATATATACACACACTTGTGATCCACATGCAGTGGAGGAATTATCATAGCCTGTTTCTGAATGCAGGAGGTTGCAACTGTCTGCTGGACTGGTTAGTCAATTCTCTTGCTCTGAGATGTCACTGACTTAGCTCATAAGGATTGGTCGATTTTTGCTGGTACACATGTTAGTCACGATAGGGAATTTTTAGGGAGTAAATAATATGGTTCACTCATCAAACCGGGTCCGTCTACACGTTGTTTCTTGTTTGTGGAAATGTCAGCCCAATGCAAAGGGTTGATTTAGTTTGAGTTCACCCAACAACACCCCAACAGACATTTTTAGTTATCAGAAAGTTGGGGGATCGGACACGCATATCCTCCAGTTTACTAAAATATGTGATCCTGATCACACCTTCCCTGGAAGCATATACTTGCAAAGACTAGGAATAATTTCTAAATTTGTTCGCTTGGTCATGGTCACACACTTGTTTCATTTTATAAAAATGACTAATAAATTCTTCCCTAGAAGAGGTAAAACTATATTTCATTTTTTTTGGAAACATCAAGGCAACGAAACTAAGCTATTTTCTATTATTTTGTCTTTCAGGATTTGTATAACTCAATAAAATCTCAAAGACAAAGAGGTCGACATGATCTTTTGGTAAGAACTCTATGCAACTAAAATGGTTGCATCCAGTGGAGCATATAAGAAATAAGATCTAACAAAGCACACCCTTGCCCCTATCATATACGCAGATCTTTTATTTGATTTAGGGCTTGTTTGAGATTGCTCCACAAACTTCATTGTGGAGAAGCTCCACAAATTAAAAAAGCTGAAGTTTCTAGAGCACTGTTTAAATGCTCTCGTAACTTCACCTTTTTTCTAGAGCAGAATTGTGTGGAGCTACACTTGTTTGGTAGAAAAACGTGAAGCAGACGTGAAAAACATGGAGCAGAGCAGGTACCAGACAGAGCCTTAACTAAGCACACCTCTGCCCAGCGTCAATGATTGGTAGATGGTGGTGAAACTTCACTGGCAACCGCGTTAGTTTGAATATAGTATTCATATGGATACTAACGCATTACTCATTAGTTTGCTTGTGGAATGTGGCAAAAGTGACGTGTAGCATTCTTGTCGTTCAACTCTAGTTAAGATTTCGTAAAAGGACTGCAGTCCACACAATATGCTTATGACAACATGCGGGGAATTCGGTTGAACAAAATCAATATTCAAACAAAGTAATGACTAGAACACACAATTAATCAAGTGACAGAATGAAACGGAAGCATATATGAAATTGAAAACAATGTTCAAACGAAGCCAAATAAAATCATGTATGAGGCATGACAAGCTACTCCGCAAAAAGTTCAAATCCATCTGTGTCACTGAAAGTGGGACAGTGGATGTTCAAATCCCCATACTATGTACACCAAAACTTAGTGAAACTAGATTTGTTGCATAAGTGTAGAACCATACATATGAAGAACTTCATAAACTGGGTTCTTGCCTGAGACCTCTTCATCTCTTTTTTTTTTAGATAATGAGACCTCTTCTTCTCTTCTCTTTTTTTACATAATGAAACCTCTTCTTCTCTTACTATGAACCCTTGATTCAGCATTCGGCAACATTGGTGATTGTTGTTGTCATCGTGCATGACGATGCAAGTAATAATACTCATGACGCGAGATTAGAACGCTGGAGTGGCTCTGGTAGTTGAAAGCTCGCTCTTTCGTTCTAGGTTGGTGACGGTTCAAATATAGCAGCAGCAGTCCAGCATTTCCTGCCTATGAGATCAGCTCTACCCACTGTATTCTGCATAGCTCCAAGAGAAGGCAACAAGTTTAGCAGTAATTGGTCACGGACATGATTGATCAGTTACTTAACCAAGAATTATGCCTATAAGTTTCTCTTGTAGAGGCATAAACAATGTTACTGCCTTAGACATTGTGTGCTGAGAAAGTCTGAAACAGCGGAAGAATGCAGGAGGACCTTGTTGGAACCTCTGAGAAACAACTGCCAAACCAAATGTCAACTTGAGTACCATGTAACATTGGGTAGGAACTGGTCATATGATTGACCAATAATGCTTGTATTTGATGTAACGAGATGATTGAGATATAGGTCATATTATTAACCCCTCTCTTTATTACTACCTCCCTTGCTCAATGAACCGCGTTCTCAACAGCTAGCCTGAATGTAGAATTAGGGATACCTGGTTGGTCGGAACGCCATACAAAAGAACCGGAGGGAGTATTTTGCAAGGAGTTACTCCTCCATGTTTACAAAGGAGGTCATTTTGAAGTTGTCTTAATTAAGTCAAACATTTTAAACTTTGACTACAAATAATTTTTTTGGGTTGAGTTTGAAAATATGAAAGTGATGTAAGTAGATGCATCTCGAAATGTAGTTTTATAAAAGTATACATTTGCTATATTTTATAAATATTTTATAGCAAAAAGTAGCAGTCAAATTAAGTTGTTTTTGAGACCGTGTCGATATCCAAAACACTTCTTTTAGGGACATGGAGGTAGTTTATATTAATATATAATAATGTAGAATGGAAAATATTCTAAGGATGCAGTCTTAAGTACTTCTTTGGCGTAGTTGATTGGTGCACCAGTAACTTCTGCAAGTAGAAATGATAATAAGAAATGTCAACGCAATGCAGCAATGACATAATGTCGAAGAGTTCTATATGTTCAATTGTTTTGCACAAAAACAAAAGCGACTACACATACATTTTAATGTTTTTTAAAAAGATCTTCTAAGGAGTCTACCCATACTGTTTCTTGAAAGGGAAGAATATTCCATGCAAATCCCTACTCAATAGAATCCTGAAACCCCCTAAGAGGACATACTTGAAAGTTTGAAATTTTCTGAAACGGCAGTGAAACACACGCATGTAAAATTTGAAAACCAAAGTATATTCGCGAGTTTTGAAATGGAGAGTACCATTATGAAAAATAAACTAAAATATTTCTCAAATCTATTTATAAATACCATTATAAGTTAGTATAGAAACAATTCAATAAAAGCGCACTATATGTATTTCTAATTACCCACTTCTACGAGTACTAATTTAAAAATGAACATAGTGCTACGTGACACCATGTAGATCAAGTAAACATTCAATAAATATTTATTTAATGGTTTATCAAGTGTGGACAAATGTTCTCTTATCAAACCATGTATTAATGACACTGATAGTCCATTTTAAATTGTATTAATACTCTATGGCAATAAATTTTATATGTTGCTATTCCAAATAATTTTATACATTTCGACTAAAATAATATATCATTTTAATATTTGTAATTTATTTTAAGCACTTTATGTTTTTGAAAATAATCAATACTACTATACATATAATTCTTCAATACAACAAATTCAACATCTTGAGTGCCAAGGTATAGGCTGAAAAGACTATTTATGGTATTATAGTAACTAATAAAAGTGTAGCCTAAACCAAAAATCTTTCTTCATAAATAAAAAATGACAAAATACAATTAGTACTAGAGTTTCTAACTTAACACATGGATAAAAAATTACATCAACTAATAAGATCAAAGGGTCAAAGCTAAAATGTAGATTCATGATGTCATAGAAATAGATGCAACGAGAGCTTATATAATTAATCTTAGATTTCAACTAAATACAAATCACGCTAGAAACCAAAAAGAGAAGTCCTAAAATTATAACAAAATTTTACCCATGGGGCCTCTAATCAATCATCACAATACGAGTTAGAAAAGAAACATGAATCCTAGAAATTCTAAAAAAAATCATATGGCTATAATTCAGTTCACTCTAATGTCTAATCACCATTGATAATAATAGCCACATAATCTATGGATAACCGTTGGATTATTATAATCTAGATTATGTATAGGATTATAATAATTAGAATATTTGGATCCCTAGATTATGATGATCGACTATGGTTAGTTAAAGTGCAAAATTCCTATCTTATCCTTTAGTTTGGCACATTGGACAATAAATTAGGGCAAGTTAGACTTTTAACACCCATAATCCCGTAAAATCTGGTCTCACCTAGATTATGGGGTTATGGTAATAAGGAGTTTAGATTATAATAATCTGGCATATAATCAATCCAGTTTAGATCAAATTTGATTATAAGAATACATTATTTAATCAATCATGTTTGGATCAAAATTTAATTATATAATTTGATTATTGTAATCACAGATATCCAAACAGGACTAAGATGTGATTTTGTTTCAGTTTGGGTAAGCTGCCATGCATGCACTTGGAGCCTCTACTTAGGGGCCGTTTGGCACGGCTCCGGCTTCCCTGACACCGACAATGTAGCGTACTGTTCATAGAAGCGGCTTTCCTCTCTCCTCCTCTCCCCCTCTCACTGACACTTGCACTGTTCATCGGAGCCGGAGAAGCTCGTTTTCCTAGCTTCTCCGGCTTCATCTCCCGTATGCTACAGTACCCGCGCTATAGTGACACAGAAAAGGTGGAGAGAGAAAACCGGCTCATCGCTACAGTGATCAGCGCAGATTTTGTCAGGCGGAGCCGGAGCCGGCGGAAGCCGTGCCAAACGGGCCCTTACTTCTCTCGGAATAGTTGTTTAAGTTACTTACTCCCTCTGGTCCAAATTATTGCTAACTTTAGCTTTTGTCTTAAATAAATTTTTTAACTTTAAGTTTATAGAAAAATACCATCCAACATCTACAACATCAAATTAGTTTTATTAAGTGACTTACGAAATATGTCTAGAAGGTATGTTTATTGGAGCTTGTACATGTTTATACATTTTTATATAAACTTGATGAAAGTTAGAGAAATATGACTTAGAATAAAGCTAAGTAGATTATAATTTGGAAAAAGGGAGTAAGATTTATTACCCATGCGGTGGGACGGGATAAAATTGATAGCAACCACTCGATCAACTGTTTGGGTAGAGATCTCATAAAAGAACTACTCCATGCCGTGAGGACTGATGACAGCAGCCGAAGATATGATTGATTAATTCCTGCTCCCCATGCATGCGCACGTATCAATTTGACATGAGTGCTCGTATTATTCAGGGGAAAAAAGTGAAATCATATCATAATGATTAGATCGATGACGGAATGCCAAAATCTGGTGGATCAGTATCCGATACGAGTGATATCCTAAACCCTGGGTACTGAACTGGATGGTGCATTCTCCTCCGGGGCTTCGGCAGGCTTTCTTTTAGTACGCAGTGATATCAGTCGAAGATCGCTGTCTCTCAATTCAGAGCTCCCACATAGTACCTTGGACTTTGGCCACAGTTGAGTTGACAGGATAGATAGAGGTCGTGCCTATGCTACCGACGAGATTAGCTAGCTCAGTACATATATGATATGCCATCGCCCCATTCGTTTGGATTTATTTAGCTTATAAGCCATGATTAAAAGTACTGTTAGCTGGTTTAGTGTAAGAGAAAAATATCGTTTGTTGGTTGATAAGCCATGGCTTAT